GGAAGGAGTCCCATAACAGGTACAAAACCAATTGCTTCCGGCACGACAGACACGCCCACCAAACAACGAACGATGAAATCTTTCTTGTGTGTCTTCACTTCACTTCGCAATGAGCAAAACGACTGCATTCGTTTGAAAGTTTTAATTTGGACTAAACGAATGATCGTAGAAGGTGTCCTGGGAAGTAGTGAGATAATCTCCCATCAAATTTGAGTACTATACAACACACCCTTGTCTAACTAAAGCAGCGTTTAGGTCATAGGATCCGCTTGAGACGACCAATCAGCTCTTTCTCTTCTTTTACAACCTCTCGAGAAATTTGAACGTAGTGCTTCACTATCATTCCGTGAGCTTCGAGTTGTAACTGGTCCATGCAATAGAAAGCCTCTGCTATAATCTTCAGTAATGGCTTGGCAGGATAGTTATATGTACTCTTCAACCATATGAATGATATGAAAAGTACGATTGCAGATAGATAGCAACAAAGGTACGTAAGCTCTTCTAACAATGGCCCAAGTTGATTGTTTGAAGATGAGCCGAAATCACCGATGATAACTTCATCGCCTTTTTGTGTGCTTCGATGCTGAAAACACTAATGCTATCTCACTTTATAGAAAGATTTCAAGAAACCAGTCCCTGAACAAATGTACAGTCAGTATGCACATTCGAGTGCTGTGAACATCATGATGCAGATATCACCGTCAGCCCCTTGCTGTCCTCTTGGATACAAAGAAGAGAAAATCTTTCCCTTCAATGTCAATGTTTCTTTGAAATTTGCACCACTGTCAAGCATCATCATAACTTCATATTTCTCTCCTTGACGTTGCTGTCATCTCTTCTAAACTATGAAATGTGCTCATATCGTCTCTTCATTGAGAAATCACATGTCCAGCAAGGCCCTCAAAGTCTCGACTCGATACTTCTCTTCTGGAGGTATTGAGGCTCTCTTCCCCACTAGCGCTAAACTGAATTATTTCTCGTCTTGAGTGACGATTTTGGCTGCATCATGTCTCCTTAAAGATAAAGTTCATTCCATCACCCTACCTGTGGTCAAAGACTGGTCAAGAAATCTTAGTGGCCATCTATTCAAAATTATCATATCACCATGGCGCTGTACCACAATGCGAGGATGCAAAAACAGCAACAGCACTGCATTGCAAGCATCGTGAACTGCCTTTGCTCGAGCACTAACTGAGAAATAATAGAAAGGTATCATACGTAACGAAATGCGAGAGGTTAACGATAGTAAACACTTTGCACCAATACAACCACCAAAAGAAAACCGAGAAAAGCAAGAACAAAAACCTGCACACAAGAACAAAATCACGAACAAAAAACGAGAAAAACACAAGCAAAAATCTGAACACACTACACTGACATCTTCACTGTTCACGCGGTTCTTTGAGTGAAAAAGTTCGAAACACAAACATCGAGTCAAGCCAAACTCACTCCACTATCGCGATAATAGAGTCGAAGCTAATGGGACTGACATATCCCTACGCGAAAAGCTCAACTCGAAGAACTGACAGATCTTCAAGCTCCTCTTGACTATATGCTACGTGAAGTGTCTACCCAAGCCAACGCTCCTCGACTGTCTGCCTACAGCCCAACGTCAGCCGCGTCCCAACGTGCCTCCGACTCAAATTTGAACTCAACGTCTATACACATGACATCCTTTTAATCGTGATCTTTCTTTTGTATTGGGCTTGGATGAATACTTTTGTCGTAAGGTGAAGAAAAAAAATTAAGCCGACAAACGTGGAACAAACGGTTTAGATCTAAGTAAATTAAAAAAAGACATACAACCTTGGCAAGAACGTTGATCTGCAGAATACCTGACACATGTTCCATTAGGATCATCAAATTCTGTAGGTGAAGTAGCAATAGAAATTAATGCATTTCTGCTTGAACTCAATCATCACTATGATCTTCTCCAGTGTCCTTCCCGAGATGCTTATTGATTAGGCAAATTCAATGATGCTACAATCTTAACAATTTGCTAAGTAAACTCATTCTCCCAAAGGGCTAAAAAAACCGAGTTGAAGCAAGAAACTATGACAAGCTCAAACATATATATATAGAAAGATAGATAAATGTTCATGAGCAACTTAAACTAAATTGCCTTCAGTCACACATAACTTGCTTCCAACAATAAAACCATATTAACAACAAAACTCATAAAGATCAACAATGATGGAAGAGAGAATTGTCTACAATGATTGTAGACAACATTTTTCCGCAACGAATATTGTCTACAATCACATCTACCTTGCTTCCACTGATGGAAACAAACCAATAATAAAACTATTTCCAACCAAACTACTACACTTATGTCTCGATTATAGAACTCAAACGTAAGTAAAATCAAAAGGATAAAAAGGAGGACGGCTAGTTATCCCTCACTTGGGCCTAATTAGCCCTCACCCTACTATACGGAGGTCATTCATTGGTTCACTCAAGTTATAGGTTCCGTGTGGTGAAAAATAAACTTTGCAAATTTATAGTCTTTTTGATTTTTGTCAAGCTTGCCTCCATGGCTTTGCCATGGAGTCATATTTCTTGCCACCTCCGCGTTTGAGTAGTCATGTCAAAAGTTGGAAGTGGAGACAAGCTCATTGGAAAAAAGTTTGGCTCAGTCGTGAAGAGTTATTTCCCGCCGAGAGGAACTACGTCCGCTTTAGGGGATGATCAGCCTAAAGGGGAGGGCACTTCCGACTTTGTGTTGAATACGTTCTAAAAGATCAGCGCCAAACGTGGAGCAAAATCTTAACGTTTTTTTGAGTCCTGGATGTACTATCAATGAGGCTTATGAGGTTTTGCATTCTACTTTGCAAAACTTGGATGGGATGAGAATGATTTTGAGGACATGTGAATTTGACAATCTAATGGAGTTCAAGAATTGCGTGCATTTAGTCGATATGGATGTATGACGTGTCTCTAATCAAGATTGATATTCGCGATGACGGGCTTGTGTGAGTTTGCAAGCTGGAACTTCTAGGGTAGACGTGCTAAAACTTGTGTATCGAAGTCTCAGGATTATATATGATGACATGGAAGATTTGCCTCTCTACGTGTTTTTGAACACGTTTAAAATTCCTACTCACAGCACGAACGACATTGTTAGAGCCGTGTCTCTGATTTTTCTGGACCCTCACGGTCATAGGTTTGATTAAGTATTTGATGATGGTCCTCAGTGCCGAAGACAATGGAGAAGATCAGGTTACTCTTCAAGTGTAAATCTTCTAGAGGATCTATGTAAGAAAGACCTTGTTGATTGTCAAAGGTCAAAAAACAAACAGGCAGTACTGGTGCTTTCATACGGGTCCAAATAAGTATGGTCAAATAGGAAATCTCATCTTCTCACTTGTGCACAAGGATGATGCGAAATCTTTCTTTGTCGCCTTCAAGTGGGAAATCCTTGCATGAAAAGTACTTGGCTTTAGCGATACCCTTTGTTTCTGCGCTGAACTTGTAATATAACGTTAGCTTAACAAAAGCCATAGAGGCATCTTTCACGTCAATCAGAAAGATTGGAAACTTGCGAAGTTTATTTTTCATCACACAAAACCTATAACCCGAGGTAACCAATGAGTTCCCTCCCTATGGTAGGGAGAGGGCTAACTAGCCGCTCCCAAAAAAAATCACAAAGTTCAAATTACAAATCTTCCTTGTTAAATATGAAGGTTGTGGACTTCTACACAAGAACTAACACAACTTGATTGTCCTTGTACGATTCACTCTCGGGCCTTTCGTAGCCTTTTAAATACTACTTAGGAAGCTTAGGATTTAGAAAGTTTTACAAGAAATATTCCAAACCCATTAATTTGCAGATGCGACACACAAAACCTAGATACGGCATTACATAGATAGTTCTCAAGTACAAGATGAGGTGTAGGCTCCGTTCTATGAACTTGGACAAGTCCACTTGTCCGCTAACTTCCAATACTTACCTACATACTAAACCAAGTAAAACAGCACTACACTGGCAACCGAACAAAACACAGAGTGAGAGTTATATAGTATGCTTGCTATCATACCCAAAAAAGTCTTCCTTAAAAAACATAAGAATAAAAAATATTCATGTTTCAATTCTTTGATGAGAAGGAAGACTGAAGGGCGACCATAGACGAGGAAGAAACGGTTCTTAGACTTCAAGAATAAGTTGACGGATGTCAACTTTTAAGTGACGGTTTTCAAACTTGAGGCTATGGTTCTCATTTCTTTGCAATCAACAAAAAGTTTTCAGATTTTAGCGACGCTAATTAGGCTTCAGCAAATGGGTTTGAGGCTAGAGTTGGCGTTGTTCAACTTTTTGTAATCTGCACAAGTTTCTTAGGTTTCAGGCGTAAGTCTTTTTAGTTACTTGTAACTAAATTTGCTCAAGTTACAGGTTATATATTTTCTCAGGTTTACATCGGTTGACGTGGTTTTTTTTCAGGTTTTGTATGCATGACCGTATATGCAACTTTGTGGTAAAAACTTATCGAGAAGTATGAATTAGCTCTGAAGTCAGTCGTTTGGGAGGTCTAACGAAAAAGTAATGTGAAGGTCTACAAGTAACAAAATTTATGAGGCGTGAAATGTTAATATTCTTAGATGGGTAGTGAAAGCTATGAAATTAACCAAGTTCTCAAATTATAGGGACTCAAAGAGATGATTAATTGTTACACAGGAGTTGTATGTAGCTTTGAATTTTCACATGTTCTGAGGGAAAGTGGGAGATCCTATTATACTAGGAGATGTGTATCATCAACGTAGTATGTGACATTACCACGCATTCTTACCAATATTCGAAATAATCGATTTCGTGTGAGAAGTCTTTTGTACAACCCTCTCTTCGACGTGAGCCTTGCGTAAATTGTTTCGTTATTGTGTTGTTTTAAGGTACTGACTAAGTTGTTGATATGTACGGCAGGAGATAATTTTAGCAAATGCCCGAATTAACGGGATTCGCGCAGGAACTAGCATGGTACAGTAGTAGTTTTCTCAAACAATGAAGCTAGACTTACAAGTCGAGGTTGCAGAATACTATCTTGCTTTGTCGGAAAACTTATAAATCAGCCAGAAACGAGGGTTTGCGAGTACGGGGAGGCAGCGCGTCCACCACAAGGCTAATTGTCTTTTCGGATCTAATGCTTCAAATTCATGTGTAGTTCCGTTAGTGTAATTTGCTCGAATAGAGTTGTCGATATCATAATACTAGAGGAAGGGATGCCAATTAGGTTCTTCTGAAGTTCCAGCGGTGAGTCCTTATGAAATCTCTGACAAATGAAGCTTCCAATTAAGCTACATGATTGCATCCGAATGGAGCTGTATTTTCGTAAAGACGATCAATTTCTTATGCGCTTGCAATGAGCTGCTTCAGGTTTCATCTCTTGTGAGCGAATTTTGAAACTAGTGGCGCAAGTGTGCGGTCCATTTACGCAATGGCGAGAGAGAAGCGTCCTCTGGATAAGGACACATCAAGTGATGGAATGCCCGAGGAAAAGCGTCAGCGTGTTCCCGCATTAGCGAGGTTGCTTTCGAAATCCCCATCTTTGCAGCTTTGTCTGTTTTCACTTCCTAGCGTCACTACGTTCTATCTGATTAGATTATTCTTTGTTTGATCGCCTTGAGGGTCGTCAAATGCCTTTCATAGTAGGTCGATTGGCACGCTGTGTTAGACTTTCGTTGAGAGAATCCTCGTTGAGATGTCTGTGCTCCTTACTCCAGTTTGTTCGTTGTCTCTCCACTTATGGTATATCAATAAGCCAGGATTTAATTTTATCATTTGGCTATCAGTGTGATTGTTGAAGCGGTCAAAATGGACAGTCTGCAGAAGCTCTGTTCCACTCTCGAGCCTTTACTTCGTCGGGTGGTAAGCCGCCCAGCATATTACTTTCCTAGAAGGTTGTAGGAATGTCGACCATGTTTCGTTTGGGTAAATTATAACCAAATGTAGGCGACTTGTTTTTTAAGTTCAGGACCAGACATTTTTACATGTAATTGGAACATTGTGAATTTGTGTATATATACATTTATAGCCCCGCCGATTGCATCGGCGTGGCTATAATCGGTTAATTTTTCTCGGTCTTGCTACATGATAATACAGTCAGTCCTTGTAAGGAGTTGGCCGTGAAAGTTTGGACGGTGTACTTTTGGAAGCTGCTTGATCTTTCGCATTTCAATGCATGATTCCTGAAGGTGTCCTTTGTTCGCGTCGAGTTGTTGTTTTTGGTTTCTATTCATGTTCGCAAAATAGAACTAGCCGTAAATCTCTCTTGACTTACTGACATGAGCCAAGGTTTGCAGATAATTTCCGTCAGTAGTTCGTCTAGCCAATTTGTTCGTTGTGTATTTCTCTGGTCACCTGCAAGTCCTATCTTACGCCTCCGTCCTCGTTTGTCCCTCTTCACGGACTATTTGCTCACCAGACTGTAGTAACTGTCTTGATTTGTGTATGCCTCTTTTTTGTTGCTCTCAACATCAAAGTGTCAGTTCCTAGAACAATTTGGTTGTGTACTTGCGTCGTGGAACTTGTTTTCCAAAAAACAGACATCTGCAACAACTTTAAATGGTAGGTTGTTTGTCTGCACTGCAATTAATCTTGAGTAATCATTGTTGTGCCTTGGGGAAGTCACGTGAAACAGGTAGGAGAAGAAGTTGAGCGTGTTCTTGCGAAGTTAACCCCGGCCAAAGTGGGTTTCAGGTGGGTTTTATAATCTCCCAATTTCTAGACTGCTGCTTGTGTGAAACTGAGCTTCAATAGGTTAAGTTTTGTTCAGAGTTTTTTTTGCTTTAAATTGTTGCAAACTTTGTCTCGATCGTGCACAGATCTTCTCCCAAAAGGATACAGGGTTCTGATTCCAGAAGTCTGCGGCTTCAATTTAGAAACAAGTTGGCCTTGCCTCTTTTCACGGGAAGTAAGGTTGAGGGAGAACAAGGATCTGCGATTCATGTTGTGCTGCAAGACGCTAGCACGGGCCAGGTCGTGGCTGTAGGAGCAGAATCGTCTGCAAAGCTTGAAGTTGTCGTTCTCGAAGGGGACTTCTCTGCTGATGATGAGGAGGACTGGCCCCAGGAAGACTTTGAGAATCACGAAGTCCGGGAGCGAGATGGGAAGAGACCACTGTTAACAGGGGAGCTTTTTGTTACATTAAAGGATGGTGTGGGAACACTTGGAGAACTAACATTTACAGATAATTCGAGCTGGATAAGGAGCCGGAAATTCCGTCTAGGTGTCAAAATATCCTCTGGATACTGTGAAGGTCTTCGCATACGAGAGGCCAAGACTGAGCCTTTTACCGTCAAAGATCATCGTGGAGAGTGTAAGAGTCCAAACTTTAAACAATAGCAGTACATTTGAAGAGCTTTAATCAACCTGTATCCTTCGTAGAAACCTATGCTTAGATTTTCGTCGCTGTTTGGCCAGATCGATTGAAGTCTTTTTTGTGGATTTTCTCTGACCCTTCTTCGACAACAGTTGCAGTAATTTCATATTGTACACTTGCCTTTCTTTCATATCTTTTCAGATTGTTTCTGATCCTGTCCCTTTTTGTTTTATTTTCCTTTTATTTCTTTTATGCTGGACACTGCTCATCGTACTGCAAACTTGAGTTCTGTCCATTCCTTTCTTCGTATGGTTCTCTTACTGGGATAGTAAGTACGGTGGCATCAGTACCAGTAAAGTTCACAGGCGAGGTGCTAACTCTCGTAGGCACCTCAGCTGTTCAATTATCAGATTTGCCTTCAGTACCTGTAAGAGAAAGGACATATGTACAGAAGTGCAGACGGACGTATGAGTAGTGAACGAAGATCGAACAATCTGCTAGAGCCTGTTGGCTCTTGTGATGAGGCTCTCTTGGTTTTTCGACTTGTCTTAATCCAAACAAGCGAGTTGCATCGGTTTACAGTCCGCATTCAGTCCCAGTTTCTCACACTATGCATATCCTTAGTTTTGAAAATACACTACTCCATTACATTCACTTGTATTGTTCTCTTAGTGCAGTTGTACAACCTCGACTTTATTCACATTCCTGCTCTTTTGTTCTATTTTCTTGAGCTAACTCAATGAAGGATATCTGTCTCTAAAGCTTGGAGCCAAATAAAGAAGATTGGTCTGGAAGTGATTTCACTTTGCCGCGCGTAGGGAGACTCGGACGAACTTGTGCACGAAATTTGTAGTTAATATGGAACGCTTTGTTGTGGCCAATAAGTGTCAATTATCTGCTATCAACCCCGCTCAATTTTGGCTTACTGGTTTCTAATTGTTTTATCTTTGTACGGACTTATATGAGGGCAATGTGAATTTTGATTGAGTCTATGTGCAGTGTGCTCTCTGTTTCCCTTTTTTAGCCAGGCGGACTGTTTTACAGGTAGGAGGAGTCTTATCTTTCCTTAGTTTCCAAAAGATACTGCTTTAGAGCTGCATCTTTCGATAGTTATGTAGGGTTTGACTCCACAGGAGATTCTACCGTCCCTTTCTTTCATCTTTATTCTCGGTCGAGAGCACCCGTCAACCAGGGCTCGTCGTCTTCAGGCTGTGACAGATACTTACCAATGAGTACAGAACATTGTCACTGAACATACACTGCAGTTAGTTTCTAAACATTTATCTAACGTCCATTTAACTAACCTTGTGGTTTTAGATGCAAACTGCGTCAGATTTTGATTTTCTAAATCTGTTTTAGTGACTGTCCATTACATTTTACTAGCAATCAAAGTTAATTTGGTCTTTAATCGTACCTCATCGTACAATGATAAAGATGCACTTATCACTACGACCACGTCAATAACCTTTAGAACCTTCACTTTCTGTTGGTACGGCAGTCCCGGAGTTCTGGTTATTCCGGAATAATTTTACTTGCCCCTTCACTACTATCTTTTCTGTACTGCAACTTCTTCCTTACTCCTCCGCTGGCTGGAAGTTTTACAACTCTTCTAGTAGATCTTGGTTCGTTTCTGCTGCATCATCCAGTGCGGCTATCATACTTTGTGTTTCCTTTTTCTTGTTTTTTGATGTCCTCACTTAAATGCTGCGATTGCTGTCTGGGGAGAAAGCATTTTTCCCGAGCACCACTCCTCAAACTTTGATATCTGGATGATAATCAACTTTGAACCTGTTCTCGATCATCCGTCATCTTGACAGCAATCGCTCAGCTTCGTCAACATATTTCTGCCACTTCTTGTATTTTCTTAAGTTTTGAATCAATACTAAATTTGTACATCCTCAAATCTCGGCTTGATACACTCATGAATTGTTCCTGTTCAGTCTGCCATTTGAAGCACTTCTTCTGCAATGGATATTTGGTCTCATTTCTTCTTGGTCTAAACTCAAGTAATAGCTGTTATCTTGAAAACGGCCGCTTTTTATAACATGGTTACTGCCTGTGTTCTGCATCTTTGGTTGGATCACCTGGCAGGTTGATGATTTACTGTCTTAGAATATACCTCAACAGATAACGCAACAGCCATCGATACCTCCTAGTCTTGTTCGGCTTTAAGTTATCTTCATGGCATGCGAGGTTAAGTGCAGAAATGTAAGCACCTCTTTATAGATGAATGAAGTAGCCGCGTCATCGGACAGTAAGTTTGATGCTTACTGTGACAAGTTGTTGATGGTCTAGAGGCCTTCCTTGCGTAGGACTGGCTCCTCTATACTTAGTTTCCAAGCAGTATCCTGTTTACAGCTGGTCCGCTTTGCACGAGCTTCATCATTGCAGTCACGCTTGCACCCGTGAGACGTACCATCTTGGTCCGAGATGTTTTTCGTCATGTTGCATATGAAGCGCCTCCTGTTGACCATGGAAAATGTTGACTATATCTTAGGGTAAACAACACAACGGGAAATGGCATGACGAGAGTTGTAAGTTCATGGACTTGGGGATTAGTCTGGAGTCCCCCAATTTTTTCATTGCCGTTAATCGTGAACGTAGAGAAGGTCACGTCAGGAGATAGGAGACATAGGCTTACATTGATACCTTACGTTCTTCCGAGAATCATGCATTTGAGTAAAAAATTGGTCTTTTACTATCGTTTGTGTAATACGGTATCCTTCCGCTCGCGCTTATTACTTACGTCCGCCGCAAAGACATAGTCGGATGATGCTTGGTCATGCAGCTTGTTGTTTACCGAATTACTGAAAGCCGTAACACGAGTGTTACTTCTCCCTGTACTTATCACAAAGCGGAAGTTTGAAGATATCCGGTTTGCTTCCAAGACTCATTCCCTTGTGAGTCTTGACGTTCGTACTATGTCCCATCGACTGGATTGAAACTCACCTTACCGATTTTCAACTGAAACTTGCAGTGTCATGGATCTTGGAGCTAGCGGGAGCTACACGCTCCATTTCCACGTTGACTACAGCCTCTGGATTCTATTCTGTTTCTTGATTCTATACTGTTTGATGTGTACTTAGATTGCTTGCTTGCATTTCAGTGAAGGGTCGTTCTTATACTAATGTTATAGTAAAGAGGTGCCCTTTGCTCGCGTTACTTTGTTTCTTCAGTTTGACGCAAGACGTCCCTGTGGTGTCGGTCTTCCTTTTTTCCTTAGTTGTGCTGCTAGCTGCACATACCGAATGCTTGTGCCTGCCATTTGCCGAGTTCCGCTTCCTGTCCTCATTGGAGGAATTTCGGTATGCCTTCCTTTCCTTTGCCCGTCTGCGTTTCGACTTTGGATACTAGGTCTCTGTTAACTGGATCGAAGCCCAGGCCGACGACCTTCAATTGAAACTTGAAGTGTCATGTAAGTTTCAACGGGATTGACGAGATCTTGGAGGTACCGTGAGCGATTTGACGCTCACTTTCCACGTTGACCACTGTATATGCATTCCATTCCTTTATCAACAGGGTTCAAGCTTGCACAACCGTTCATAGGTACCGTCGTGGTACCTGTCCGAACTTTTTTCGTGTTCCACAGATTTTTCATCCTCAATATCGTCTTTCTTGTCTTTCCTCGTCTTTATCTGCAATGGGAAGCTTCCTCTAAGCTCGCTTGTGTTCTCCCTTTATGCACCTCGTATACTGCACCTTCTTGATATCCTTCACCTGATGGGGAGTACGACTTACTTGCTCTATGACCGAGTTGCTCTCCGTTTGTTTTTTCTTTGATTCTCCTTCTTCTCAATGTCGTTTCTTATCTCTGGGTTTACTGTGATTAGAGCCATTGTAGGAGAGGCATCCTTATTCAAATTCCGTGCGTTTTTGATGGAAATAGGGGTTTCCACCAACTGGATCTCAACTCCACGATTACCAAAAAGTCTTAGCCCTTGACTCTTGCTTCGAATCTTCTGCACCCGCTCTTCGGTGTGTCGTGCGACGTCCGTGGTCTGTCCTTGGAAAATCTGCAAGATTCACATCTCCCCACGCTTCGTGTTGCTTGGTCATCGACTTGGTCTTTGTTGGATTCTTTCGCTTCCACTTGCTTTGTCACATTAGTTCGGTTCCACTTGCTTCTTCTGCTTGTGGGACTTGATGGGATGCTTTTGGCGACAGCTTCATATATGTGATTTTCAGCTCTTCCTATTTTGGTTCGTATTCATTCGAATAATCGTGGCTCCTGCAGGTCTTATTACGGTTTTAGTGTGCTGCCACCTTCTAGTGTTAGTCAAAGCCCCCAAGACCCAAGACTTGAGTCTACTGAATTTAAAATTGGTCTCACTTTCCATACATATATAATCTGTTTGGAGAACTTTTGAAGAAGTGTTTTGTAGTGGGTGCACGTGGATGCCATTTTGGCCCATTTGGCACACATTCTATAGTGTATTTCAGAAGTGTACTTTGTTGTGAGCGGAGATTCCTTGATTGATGCTCAGAGAGTTGTTTATAGTTATCGAACATCTTCACGCGTCGTCCACTTCGTACGTTGCTTCTAATTGGTTACAGAGAATTTCAAATTTTAAAAGTTGGTCTCTGTTTACGGGGCGTATATAATATCTTACGCTCGAAGTATCGGCTCTGGCTGTTGTTCTCTATCTGCTTGCTATTGTTTTGAATGTTTCTGTATGGTGCACTACCAGTTCAGGTCGTTTTATCTATGTTTGTAATTCATGACATATCTCGCTGATGTACCACCGCGAGTGTTGCGTTTTTGCCTACGGTTGTCCGCTCTAGTACCACCTTTGGTTGTGAGGCTGCATGTACTTGACGCATAAGGGAATACGTAACGCATTCATACTGTTTTTCACCCAGGGGAATGCAACGCAATAGTCAATAAAGTGTATACATTTTGGAGAATTCTGAATTTAGATCCCACCCACCGTTTAGCATAACAGCTTAAACACAAGACTCAACCATATTTGTAAAATCTCGTGATTAACTTCATTGTCTCTCTCATTCATTTCCTGTGGATGTAGTTGAAGTCTTCGGTCCAAAAGTCCAGCTTGGAAAAATCTTCGCTGCAGTGTTTTTCAAAACACACTCTTTCCGTGAGTTTCTAAGGACACCAAATGTACTAACGGAAAGTCTTCTTTGTCACGAACAGTGTATAAGAAACACTACCCACCAGCATTACATGATGAAGTGTGGCGTCTGGACAAAATCGGGAAGGATGGTGCGTTTCACAAGCGATTGAATCAGTCTGGAATTCAAACTGTGGAAGATTTCCTAAGGCTTGTCGTCATGGACCCGCAAAAGCTTCGGAACGTAAGTGCAAAGTTTCTCTTGTTGTTGACCGTATCGAACGTTCATTGCGGTCCTTGTCAATGTCAATCCGCAACATGAATATGACAGCCCCTAGGGCTGCCATCTCGACCAGAGAGCAAAGTAGGAGACAGTATTGTTGATTGCCTTGAGTTCCTTCCCATATTTGCATTTACGCTTCTAACCGGAGTTACGGAATCGCGTGGCATTTACACTAATTCAGGGCGTTTTGGAGAGTCATATCCTTGAACTTGCGTAAGTCCTAGGGTTTTGTTGTTTTTCGCTTTGTAGTTTCAGCTTCATGTTTTGGAAGACAAAAGTACATTGTGTGTTGTGCGTCGGGTCAATCAAAGGGTCAATATAGGTGGAAATACAACTAATGTGGCCGTAGAATCTCTCTGCAGATTCTCGGAAATGGAATGTCAAACAAAATGTGGGAGGGAACAGTGGAGCACGCGAAGACATGTGTTCTCAGTGGTAAGCTGCATGTTTACTATGCGGATGACAAGCAAAATATCGGGGTCATATTCAACAACATATCTCAGCTAATGGGGCTCATTGCAGATGGGCAGTACATGTCTGTCGACTCATTGTCGGATAGCGAAAAGGTACACTTCTCACTGTAACACCGGAAGAGTATGTCTGCAACACGGGTCAATTAGTATGAATCGTGTGAGGAATCTGGTGCTCATTATAAGCTCGAGTTCTTGCACAGTACACTGTTAGTCGAGCGCATTTTATGATATGAACCTATGTTGGACACATTCTATTGCAGATTTGACAGGGATTAGATGATTGAAATGTAGTCGGCGCTTTTTTTTCTAATCCTCTTTCTTCGCTGGATTGGCGTTTGTTTCCTGGAAATTCGTTTGGTCATCACAACATCTTATATTTCCATGAAACTGTGGACGTAAAACTGAAACTCATTGACCTAGTAGAGGGTTTTTTAAAGTGTAGGAAACGCTAATTATAAGTCGGACAGTATGATGTTGGCAATAGGGACGTCTTCTTGCAACCAAACGACACCCGGGTCTGGCTCAGTGTTAAGGATGCTGGTCTACTGAATTCTACTTGTTTTCCTGTTTACGTGGAACTACACGACAGCGATGTAGGGAATGATGGAATTAAATCACGAATTCACCCTTTTTTTCGCAGACCCCCTTACTTCTTAGACTACAGATGCTGATGCTTCTCTACTTAGTTCCAACTTATATCCTTTCTCCCTTCGCCCCTCAGCTGCCTTGACTGAAGATGCATTATTCAGCTACAATACCTATTACTTCTTTGTTGTCCCATTACGGTTTTCACATTGTTCTTTTACCTCGATGTTCTCGCATTCTCTCATGTATTATTTCATATCACTCAATACTATGGACTGATACTTTCTGGCCTTTTGTAGACAAACCACCGAGACTCATTGCTTCCTGACCCCGAAGAAGTTCTAATGTAACTCATGTGCGAATGTAAGGTTTAAGATTCATGGAGTTTCAAAATGCATCAAATTGAGTGTGGATGCATTATTATATTATCATCTAACTGAATGATGGATGAAATTGAAATTTTTGATTGTGTTGAAATTTTCTTGTAAACACCATATAAGGATTAAGGAGATCACTTCTTTTTCACAAACCTTGCTCCAGTTTGCATCACTTTCTACATTTTGCTATTATGGGTCATGCTTGCCTTAAAGGCTTTGCTGATTGACTTGGCTGTGTAGGTAGCATTTGGTCTCTTAGACTAAGACTCTGCATTCTCATTAGCAACTTCGACTCAACCAATATCCGTTCTGTTCTCATTCAAAGGCTTAGGATGTCGAAGGGACGTTGTCCATAGCTTATGTACTTCTTACTGTCCTCTCGTTGGCTAACTCTATTTTGTTAGACACACAAGTTGTTAGTTGCACAAACGAGCACAATTAGCTCAGCTGTACCAACACACTTTATGGGAGGTCTATACATGAGTGTGAAGAGTCACACCTCTTCAGAAAATCCAGGGAGTAGATCTGTTACCGCTAGTAGTTAGGAGAGGTGATCTGCTTGATGGAGCAATTCCACAGCACCCTATTAGGGCTTTGATAATAATAGATGTCAAATTCAGTGTATGGATGTACTCCAGTTGGATCACTTCTACCATCGCGGGTCCTGTGGACTCTCTTGCACTTGCCATAGCTTGCCCACATTCAGTCTAACTCATGTGTAACTGACTGAGAGTAATTCACAATGTTATATTATCTGATATGTCCTGTTTTCCGGTTGATCTTTCACCCAGAGGTACAACCCGCATACAACACATTCTGATTGCTATAAGTAGTGTAGTTTTCCTCCATTACTGACTTCTATTTTATTTGCACCTAGATAATGTATACTCCTCATTTTAAGTAGAAGAGACGCGAACATATCTAAGCGCTGAAGTCCAGTTTGTTGCGGTATGTTGTGAGTGTGCATCATTCATGTGCCATCTGTTCATGATCAGTTTTCAACGTCTCGCTTTTATGTATTATAGTCGAAATTGCTTTTTGCTCTTATTGGAAGTTGATAAACTAAGGCTTCCCAGCTAACGCTCATGTAAAGATGTACCTCTATTTTGACATGCTACTGTAATCCTTGACATGTACAGTACATTGGGGAAGAAAATGCTCATCCATATGTGGCCTCTATTAATGGCTGCAAATGGCTGCAAATGCATCATTGCAACAACTCAAGACTAATTCTTCTAGTTTATACACCCGTGGCCGATAAGTACGTATGATTTGTGACAAGTGGAGAAAGGCTTTTAACACTACATCAATGATGGCTCTCTTGATTCAGGCCGTTGAGGCTTGATACTGAGGAAGACGTATTCCAACCCAAGAAGCTAATTTCTAGTTTGTCTGATCTTTTTGAAGTGTTACCGTGAATTCATGCTGTTAATTATTGGCTCATCTCATCTCACTAGTAATTGAAGACTCACTTTTAAAGAGTTGGCGGCGATATATATTATTGATTGTACAGCCACTTCAGGATCACTAGCGTGTGGACTTGTACTTGTAACTGCCGTCTACCTTTCTGCATAAATCAGTGCCTTATGTGTTACGGGTTAAGGGTACAGTCCAGAGTCGGACGTTGATCTCTGTCTCTCTAAACCCTAAACCCTAAATCCTGCCTTATCAATGTAGTATGATCGCAAAGAAATCTTTTTGTCTCTAAATTCGTTTTCCCCCCCGTTTGGGGACTTCAGGTTTATGTTGATAAACTCGTGAAGGTGGCGTATGAAAATTGGGAGAATGTGGTGGAGTATGATGGTGAAGCGCTAATTGGTGTAAAACCGTACAAGCTGAGAGGAATTGATGCCCACACTGAAGATCCTATCGTCGGTCAAGGTTCAAGTGGACATCAATCCTTGACAAGTGCGTCCAATCAGCTTGCTGTATCATCTACCCAGATTATGACAAGCCAACGACCGCAATCGGGTAGGGTGATCTTCTTGGATCCAGCTTAGCTAAGTATATGTGGCAAGAAGAACAAAGTTATAGCAAATTCAGCTTCATGTGGTAAAAATATTTTTATTTTTATTTTTAAGTTTTTCTTCTATTGAATTTGCAGGGGGCCAGACGTATACGACACCTGAACAAAAAGTTCACAGGAAGTACTTAAACCAAGTTAACTCGATGGCTGAGCATCACAACAGTCAAGGTTTTTTAAATTCAGGGCAATATCCATCGCAACCTTCTTCGATCAGCCTTACTCATCAAACCTACTTACATGGAGTAAATCCACCTGTAACTGGTCTTGCACTTGGTCTGCCTCACGCTAGTATCACTACGCCCCCAGGTCCTTCAATAGCTGTTCTTAATGGAACCACTATGTTGCCTGGAACCGTGAATTCACCAAATGACTGGCCCCGGTATAAAGAACTGCGTGGACAAGACGGATTGTCTCGGACAATGCAGATGGATGAATTGCTTTCAGAAGATGAACTAAGAGTGAAGAGCATGGAATTACTGGAAAATGAAGATATGCATCTCCAAATTCAGCAGCTGCTTCGGATGTTCAATGCTGCATCGAGCGAAGTACCCTCAAATCCCTACTCCGGTGGTCAAGGAGAAGACAATTTTTCTTTTGGTGCCTTCACGCCTCCTCCTGATTTGAATGTTGGTATGGATAGAGCTCGAGTCCATGGAAGAGCAAATGTCGGCTGGTTAAAGCTCAAGGCTGCTTTGCGATGGGGTATATTTATAAGGAAGAGGGCAGCAGCTAGAAGGGCTCAGCTTGAAGAAGTGGAGGACGAAGGATCAGGTTGAACGTTTTTGGTGGGATATACTCAGCACTATACCAGGTCTTTGTTCTTATACACCTTCCGTTTTAATATGTTGAAATTTTTGCTTGCAATGCAGGCAACCTCTTAACTCAATTTTGAATATGAAGGTGAATTTTCTAATCATCTGAAGGTTTTTCTTTTCTTCATCTGAAGAGAGCTTCAGATGCCTGCTACCTGCCTATGTTCTTACTTTCTCTCCTTTGTATGGCCAGATTATAGATGTACTAACATCCGCAATCACTATGCCGCCAACCCCTAGATGCCGTAGTATGCTGAACATGAGGACTATGTTAGACCACATTTATCTTGTTGATTTATCTTCATCGCCAGCTAGCCGCAAGGCAATCAGTACAGTTGTACGTGCATTATAAAAACACATAGGAACTACGGGTGTACTTGAGTATTGATAGCAAAGTTCAAGCGGACATTGTCTTACTATCAAGGCTTTCGCTTTCGCAATCATCTTAATGTTCATCCATCATTCTGACAAAATCAAATGTTTAAGTTTTGAATAGGTTCAAACGTGTCTTCACGATTTCATTTCATTTTTTTTAACAAGTTTCATTTCAAAATGTTCTATTGCATTCATTTCATTTCAGAGTTACATCGCCTGCTGCCACCTTTGTAAGAGCATGTCTTTCGCTTTCTTAGGTTTAACAAAATTAGTCGCAGTTGAAAACTGCGACTAATTCAACATCAAACAAATTCCAGCAAATTTTCATTTTATTCTCATGTTCTCTTAAGCTCCCGCTTAAGAAAACGTATTCCCGTTTCTTACATCCAGAGCTTCCAATAGATTTTTAACTGTTGAGCATTTACAAGGCACTTAATCCTGATGTGAATGATGCTTGTACAGCAGTGGTGCGAGATACTGTACCCAACTTATTCATATTTTTCCCACACGTCCAAACCTAGGTTCCTGGATGTTGTACGACTTAACTTGTAAAAGGCCTGAATATGACGGGAAGTTCCATAAGCAAGAAACATTTTTTCTGTCAGCATATGTTGGGGTTTATCATCCTCGATATTGAACATGGTTCATCTTACCTCAAGTCTTGAATAGCTAGCTCAGCTGGAATGGTCTTTTCTTTCAATCGTCTTGAAAAATTAGTATCACTCTATTCTCAGTTTTAGATTTCCGGTCTATGTGGCTCTAGAACGCAAACCACGTTAATTACTTCCTAAAGCATTACGTTATTACAGCTACTACTATAGCTACTTGCTTCGAATATTGCTGGAAAGCCTGTGCGTGAACTTATTTCAATGTTCCGATGTTCTCAAATAACGTTTATTCTTTCATCTATGAACTTGAATTGAGCTGAACCCTGAGCTTTGCTCTCTTCCTGAGGAAGAAGTGTGCTTCAGGGGGTTGAAGAGGTCCTGAAAGTAGAGGAACCATTTTGATGCACAGTCACTTGCTGAAATCCTGAGACTGTTGTCAACAGTCTCAGGATTTCCTATTCAGTATCTAGAGGATCTACTCTAGCACTTCCCTCAGTACTTCTAGGTTACTCTTTATGTCATGGTTTGAATCCATTGCCTCTGATATTGATTGCGTCATTCATCGTCCGACTTCTCATAGGTAGATTGTCGTAGGTAATTTTTGACACAGGTCAGGGCAACGACCATCGTTTTCACCGTAGTCTGTGGGGCTTCGAGTTAGGAACCTATCGAAATCCAACGCTTCGGCCCATATATTGTTGATGGTCACATATTACAGCACTGTCAGTTTTACAGCTGGTCTGCTCAAACTGCCTTCCTTATATCACCGATATTCTGCTCCTTGTCTTCTTCCACACCTATTTGTATCTTATCTCACTTACTATTTCATTTCATGCACGACAGGTCTCTGTTATTCTGTGATTGTCTCCACGGTTTGAGTATAGTACGTTGCACATCCCTTCCTGGGACCGTTCATGGTACCTACCAAAACTTGTCGTCCAGTTTGACAGTTTTTATTCTGAAATTCGTGTTTTCTTGATTTTCATCTGGACCTGTGGTTTGCTTTCTACCCTTCAATTTGACAACCTGAAGAAAATTTGAATGCCCAGGTAGTCACCTGGGGCATTTGATTTATCTTAAGATTGGATCCAAAGAGGTTGTATTTCCATTATCTATGCGATGCAATATTTTCTCGAGCCTGCAGGCAATTGTTGCTACTCACCCGTTTCATTTCGGTCATAGCCCCGCTGCCCGTACCGAAGACTTGTACTCGGTCCGCATATATGTATATTTTTATTATTTCGTGCTTTGATTTACTCTATCGTCTGATCATGCTCTTCAAATGTCAAACTAGCCGCTCGTGCCGGCTGCTTGTTTTCCGTCTTGCTATGAATATGTATATATTAGTTCGCGCTGGTCCTCTATGCATTTTGCTTGAAATTCAGATGTCTCTGGTCAACCTTCAAATTTGGTCACTCATTTCTACTGCAATTTGCAATCTGTCATCTGGTGCAGATAAATTTTGTTGCTGGATGACGGTCATCTCTATGTTTTTTACTTGGCGGTTGATACTCTTCGCTGATGCTAACAACTACGTAAAGGAGTGCAATCCATGAACTTTTACCTCCGACAAGCCTTTAGCCTGCGAGTGGTTTTATTTCTACAGTTAACATCTGGTTATGAGTGACCATTGGTTTGGCCGCATGGACAGGTTTTCGCGAGAGGTGCGCATTGTCCCATATGTGTGGCTGTGATTACTCTTACAGCTGTGATTAACATCTAACTACTATCTATGCATTATCACACATGAGCAATTAGTCACAAAGTAGAGAGAAAAAATCACTTGATTGTCATTCGATGTATATTCTGTTTAATTTGCTCTGAGGTTTCAATGGGTATTTCATATTCCACATCTTCAAGGTTTAAGTTCCCGGAGATGACGAGTAATCTTTCAGAATTTCCATTGCAGAACACTTGGAAAGGACGAGAACGTTTGAAGATGACAAGATTTCACGTAGTAAACAAGGACTTCTTTGTTCCTTGCAGTTGAAATTTTACAACGAAAGCAGATGAATGTGACTTTAGGTCTCTAATAGCTCACATAGTACAGATGAACTTCCAGTCGCATCTTTTGAATCGTCATCACTACCTTCTCATTCAATCCTCAGATTCCTAATTCCTTTAATGTGACTTAGGTCGTTTACACAGAAACCGCAGCATGTACTTCCTAAACATGCCTTTTTTCACAGCTACTACTTGCTTAGACTTTTTGCCTGACCTTGTACAAGAATTTCACTCAACCTCTCTTTGTATTAGATATCGGTATTTCTGTGGGTACTAACTGTGTTGTCTTTGTAGCTACCTTTCATTTATTCACGTCAAGTTGAGTTCTTACATTTCTTAACTCTCCACATTCTTCGAATGAGGTATCAGCTTCTGTTCTGCCCAATGTACTCTTAGTTCGTCGTTTGTGGATGATCTTTTGGTTCTAAACTCTCATGTCTATCTTCGTTTACGCACCTTTTCTATAATATTTTCTGGGGTGGGTAATATCCTTCCATAGCTTTGCACTCCACCTATACTCATCTGGTTCTTATTGTAATTTTCTTTATCTTCTCACTCCACGGAAGTTTCGAAGTTCGAGAAGAGATGCTACCCAAAATACATCTGGGATTCCATAATTTGGAATTACACATGACTTCATTTCTAAGTCAAAATCCAAACATTAGTTTACTATTGTTAGGCGTGTGCACAAGTTTGCCATCATTTGTATTTGTATACTAGCTTTTCAGCGAGAAGCTTTTATTTAAAATATTTTTTTGTTATTACAGTGTATTTCCTATACTTCAATATTTGAAGAGTACTTCCAGTCGTGAACATGTGAAATCCCGGTTCTTCTCTGCGAAAGTCACAAAGGGTTTAATACCCTAAATCACTAAACGCTCACTTTCGAAGCATCTGGATCTCTTTACTTTAAATATTAAGTCCAACCTTGCACATCCCTTTCTCATGTACCTACATTGCTCTCCTAGTAAAATCTCTTGCAGTTGCAGTTTTTAATTCTGACTTTGATCCCAACTTCATATTCGAACATCCTACTCTTCTTTTCTGCCGGCGGCACTCAAGTAGGTGATATGTCTACGGCGCATATGACATGTTTTTGTTACTATTCTGCAGGTACACTTCATACACGCTCACTTTCCCTCCACGTTAGGTACAGGCTCTGGGTTCTATTCGTTTCCTTCAATTTAAGCTTGCACATTCTTCCTGGGTAATATTTTGGCACCCGCCAAGACTTGGCTTCCACTTCCACTTATTTTCATGTTGAATCTTATCTTTCCTGCATTCATATGTCCACGTCGTCGGCGATTGATTTCAACTATAGACGTTGGCATCAGTTTTTCTCTTAACCTGCATTTCAGCACGTTGCTTCTCCATTCTCTTTTCGCATCAAGTATGGGTACTAACCAGCAGAAACCTTACTAATTTGGCACCATTCTTAATTTCGGTCATAAACCCACCGCTTCCAGTGTGTACTTGTTGCTACATGCCATATTTCCCTAGACATTGTAAAACTTTAACGAAGCACTCAGTTGGACCTTTGGTTTTATTCCAAAACAGCAAAGGAGAGAGCTCCGATACCATTCCACTTGTTAGTGACATGCCAATAATCTATTTAGCTCTATCTAAGAACAGTAGCATGTAAGCAGGGATCGAAGCAATTGAAAGGTCAATCTGTCGCTCTTTTTACTGAAGTCTTTTGGGACCAGCAATTTTTTCAACTTGTTGAGTCAGTAGAGGGTTTCGTTCTTGACGTCTGGAAGATACGAATAAACTTGTTGAAAGGCAGGCTCTATCCAGCTAAGTACTTAGTACATGAATCGCACGCATTTAAGATTCGAGGATTCTTGTACCTACCGAGACACGCATGTGGAGTAAAGTTGTGGCATTTTGATATTAGTAGTCTAGGCTAAGCTAATCTAACTTTCTGTATAAAATTTACCGTAAGTCTTCAATAACAGCCTAGCAGTAAACTTTCACTTAACAGATTAAGATTCATCATGTGACGATGGAGTGATGCCTGATGGGTATATGTTGATGATTCTTGGTTCTTTTTCTCGCATCAGATCCGCGGAATCATACCACACAACGACCTGTTTGTGCAGATGCAGGTTTTTGTCATGGACACTATGAATCTGTCACCGGAGGCTTGTCTTCCGGTTAGTGTATTGTACATTGTACTGGTTACTGTTGGTGGTTTCTGAATACGCTAGGACGTGCCTGGCGTTAATGCTTTTTGCTCACGCTTGCTGGCTACGCTTTAGCTGCTGACCCTTCTTTGCTGGGAGTCATGCCTACCTCAGAACTTTGCTCCTCCAATCGCCGGATGTGCTGTAAATAGCTACATAATCAACTTCTCTTTGTTTCAGACATTAGTCAAGCATGTTATCCTCTGCTTGTCTGTCTAATGTAGCAGGTGGCAACCTCACATTATTGGTACTTTTGGTTAGTCAAAAAAAAATCATGACCTGCGCAGGGTTCCTGCGTTTTTTTACCCTCGGTCAGAGATGCTGATAGAGTAGACCGATTTGCGCTAAGTACAGCGGTTTGCTGCGAGCACTAAATCACGATATTCATTGCCAAATCACGCTAAACTTTGCTGTAGGCTCTTCATACTGATTTGGTGTATTCTGCTTGCCTTCTGCATATGCTTGTCTGATTGCTACGTCGTGTATGCTTCTATTGGACCTGCTGCATGTTCCTTTGACTCTCAAGGCATGAGCTGGTTACCTACACTGATCATGATCTTGGCCTCTTTTGGTCTCAACGAACTGCTTTGCATTTAGACGTCTTAGTCGAGAGGACATGGTTCTTTCCTCGAGAGTACTTGTCAATCTCTAAGTTCAGTAGCAAGGATTCACTTCTTGTGGTTCTCTGTAGGTTCTATGTTTTTGGAAATAATATCTTGCACCACGTGTAGTAGTCTAGTTTATTGAACCAGTACCGCTAAAGCCATCGTGGGGTCTGCATCTAACCTCGTTCCAATTTGTACCAGGTCCTTGGAGCTGGTCAAATAATCGAATTAGGCCGACGTACATACCCGAAATTTCAGTGCGGAATTGGGCGCAGGTCGATTATTGATCGACCATCTTCGTCATTAAGTATTGCAAAAGATCCTTCCGACGCACTCTTTTGACGATAGTCCTGTGTCAATGAATGTGGATATTTTAAGTTGAGGTACTGAATATACTGAACAAGCTGCAGTAAACACTGTTCCTTCATTTTCTTTAACTGTTGTGATGTTATATTCGTTACCTTTTTGTATACTTTTGCTTTCATTACGGAGCGGAATTGTGGAATAAATCCCTAGCATACGCATGGAGAAACCATGCTCGTTGACAATGTTTAGATATTATTATTGACGAATACGTCGCGGATGTCATATTGATTTTGTTTAGTCATTTTGAGATGGAGAGTGCGGGAATGGTTTAGTGTACACTTGAACCCTAGACCCAACCAAACCCTGAGGAGCTACATCTGCGTAGAAATTGCTGAGTGATTTGCATAGTATTGGAGAAGCATACGAGTTCCTTAAGGATAGATAAGGATACGGGTTACATCACTTTGTAGGTTCCAAAGCGTTTGAATAACACAAACCGATATAAAAGTACACATCTTGTTTACATGTGGGAATCCCACTCGTCGAGGAGAGTAAACGATCCAGCATCCAAATTTTAGCGAGCGAGAAAACATGAAGGACTCCAAACCTTAGTAAGCCTGTCCACAAAAGACTCTCAATACCACGGAATCTGCATATGGACTAGAGCAGTCTTGACGGGTTTCAGTTGTTGTCTGAGGTTACTAAAGTATGTAATGCCGAAGGTAGCTCATCCAATGCTTGATTTTTTTCTTCGTGTAATAGTTTTCACCCAAGTTATTCTTTTGATCTATTAGAAAAGTAAAGCAATGCAAGAATGAGTGGTTCCTTAGTTCCGAGGGCACATAAGAGCTGTTGATAAAACACAGGTACTCGGATTGGATGTACATGCAGAATCCGAGGTGACAAAATAATGAATAGACAAAGTGTGACACACTTCCATAATGGGTTATGATGGTCGTTACATCATAGCTGTAGTCGACATCACAACACAGTACACTAGAGAAGAGACATGAAATAATAGGGACTAAAAAAGTTCGAACATTCCCATTTCCTACCTACTTCTCTCTTCTTCATTCCAACTAACAAACCTAAATTCTGATTATGACACCAATGTCTTTCTCTAGTTAATGGTTTTTTCATGATGTTAGCAATCATCTCATAGGATGGGAGATAAATCAACTTCACCGAATAATTTACGATTAGATTCCTGATAAAATGTTTCATGTTTTGATCTTTCATATTATCTACTTGTGCAATAGCATTTTGATTGTCGCAGAATATTGTTGTCTCAAGCCTAGATCGTGTAATAATTCTCTTAACCACATAGCTTCAGCTCCAGCCTTGGACAAAGACATATACTCTGCATCTGTAGAAGAAAATGCTACTGACTTTTGTTTCTTTGATGTCCAACTAATGGTTCCACCATAGAGTTGGAAGCAATATCCAGAAATAGATCGTCTCGTGTCAAGGCAACCTCCCTAGTCCACATCAGAACATCCAGTCAAGCCGGATGGTTCATCAACCCTTGTAAGCACAAGGCCAAAATCGAGAGTTCCTTTCAGATGTCTGGAAATCCTCTTAACTGCCTTCCAGTGTATCAATCCAGGATTTGACATGAACTGAGCCACTGAACTAACAGCATAAGATATATCGGGTCTAGTACAGACCATCGCCCACATCAAGCTCCCAACAGCAGCTTGATATGGTATATTTTTTATTTCTTCACTTTCTCCCACTGAATTGGGAGAGTCAAGCACACTTAACTTCAAACCGGGTTCCATAGGTGTATCAATAGGCTTACAGTCAGCCATGTTGAACCTCGCAAGTTTTTCAACGGAATATCGTGGCTGGGAGATCCGAATCCACCCTTCTTCACGATTTCTATCCACTTGCATACCAAGACAATGATGGATCTCTTCTAAGTCCACCATATCGAACTCCGATTTAAGTTTCTCCTTGATATTTGAAAGTAGACGCAAGGTATCACTCGCCAGTATACAGTCGTCCACATATAGTGCTAAATGCACAAATGTATTTCCCTGAGAGTATATGTAAACATTCTGATCTGCATTTCTGCTAAAAGCAATCAGCAGTAAGAACGAGTCAATTCTTTGATACCACTGTCGTGAGGATTGCTTCAGTCCATAAATGGACTTATTCAGTTTGCATACCATGTTTTTCTCAGAAGAGATATTCAACCCTTCAGTAAGGGCCATGTAGACTTCTTCATCCAATAGTCCGTTCAGAAATGCAGTGTTCACGTCCATCTGGTGCAGCTCTAAATTGTTTTGAGCTGCTAGAGCCATTAACACCCTAATGGATGTCATCTTCACCACAGGAGAAAATGTTTCTGAAAAGTCAACACCATAAACCTGTGAATATCCTTTTGCTACCAATCTGGCCTTGTATCAGATTACAGAACCGTCAGGCTTGTATTTGATCTTATAAATCCATTTACAGCCAACTACGTTTTTGCCCGCAGGTAACTCTGTGAATGTCCAGGTTTGATTTTTCTTCAAAGAAGAAAATTTATCTTCTATAGCTTCTTTCCATTTGATAGAATCACCATTCTGTAAGGCATCTTGATAGTAGTAGGTTCTTTGTGAGTCTCTCCATACGAAAATAAACCTCCAGGCTTCTTCTTCTCCAACAGTTATCATATTTTTCGACACATTTCCTTACTCTTTCCCCCTTTGAAAGATAGGATCGATGGTGCGGGAAGAGGATGAAGCTGCCCCCTTAGCTGTATCTGTAGCCGGGGCCTCAGATGTAGTGTCTTGAAGTCTGAGGTCACTCGAAGTTGCGAACCGTATCAACGAGAGGAGGATGACTCACGGAGGAAGTGGAAGGTGCCTGTGGAATTCCCACTCCAGGTGATGGTGTAACCGGACTGAATTCTCCCACTGCTGGTGATCAGTCGATGAACCTAATGGTTTACCATTAGGTTCATCGACAGGGAGTAAAACCTTCTTGCTCAGCAGGCGGAACAACTGATGTCTGCTCATGGTGAACCGCTAGAGGCAGAAATCTGACAGATCTGCTCTCAATAATCTTATGAGTGTCTTTTCGCTGTAACCGATATCCTTTGGCTGTAGGAGAATAACCAAGGTAAACACACTCTACACTCTTGGGGTCAATCTTACCCCGACGGCCTTTTTTCAAAATGGGCAAAGGCAGTACATCAAAAAACTTGTAAGTGGCTTAGATCAGGCTTCTGTCCATGCCAAAGTTCTTAAGAGGTTTTGTCATTGGGTAGAGCCTTCGATGGAGATCTGTTCTGCAAGTAAACAGCAGTATGGATGGCTTGGCCCCAATAACCATGAGAAAGATCAGATTGTGTCAACATAGCGATAACTGAATCGATCAAAAGATGATTCTTCCGTTCAGCTACTCTGTTTTGTTCGGGAGTATCAGGGATAGTAAATTGTCGTTGAATACCATGAAACTTCAGTAACTTCAGTAAAAGCTCGAGATTCGTATTCAAGAGCATTATCTGATCGTTGAACCTTGGTGCGCTTGTTCAGGTAATTTTCAGCCATCAATTTGAATTCCTGAAACTTGGCAAACGCATCGGACTTCTTTCCTATCAAATACACACGCGAATATCGTGAAAGGTCATCGATAAATGTGATGAAATGCTTACGTCCAGAGAATGTTTGAGTTCCGAGAGGGCCAGATACATTTGTGTGCAGTAGACGAAGAAGGTCTATAGCACGAGTGGCTACTCTTGCTAGGGAATTTAGCTCTGGTAGACTTCCCTAGAGCACATGAAGTGCAGAAAGGGAGAGTTTGAAAGAACATTTATCCAATCCTTGTACCATACAATGCCGCATCATCTCCTGAATCCGCGAAAAACTCATATGGCGGAGCAGTAGATGTTATTGATAGATGTTCAGCTCTTCAGTGTTGAACGTGAATAACTAACATAGGTAAATTAATTAACATAGACAGAAATTATATAAATATAGAAAAAAATCAGCTCTTCAGTGTTGAACCCCGAATAACTAACATAGGTAAATTAATTAACATAAACAGAAATTTTAAAAATTATATAAATATAGTAAAAAGTAAGCTCTTCAATGTTAGAACCGAATAACTAACATAGGCAAATTAATTAACATGGACAAAAATTATACAAATACAGCAAGAAATCGTTAGAATATTGTAATACTCCCTATTACTTCTTGTCTCTTCTTTGGTATATTTACAGTTAAGACTTTGTTGGAGTGATGTGAATTGTTGCTGCGATGTAACGGCCACCTTTATCCACTATGAAGGTGTATCCCACTGTGTGTTTGTTCATCTCCTTTGTGGCTTCAGATGGAGTATTTAAGTTCACTACGAGGACTTGTGTTTTATCAAGAACTTTTATGTGGATCTGTCCTCAAAACTAAGAAATCTATGTCGACTCATTCTTGCATTGTTTTATTTTCCTAATATGTACTCTCAAATATTTTCCAATCATTTATATGTTAAATGTTAGAGCAATTTCAAGTGACTTTTCCGAAACCCTGTCGGTTCTGATCTTCGGCGACTCAAGCTCTTCCTGCAAGGCTGTGCTTCGCACCACTTCTGATGTGAATGTGACGATTGTCTCGAGGAATTGTACGCGTGTCCTTTTGAAGATTCGTCGTCCGGCGCTTCGCGGGCCCTCTTGAAGATTTGTCGTACGGTGCTTCGCGGGCGGAATTCGCCAACAACGCATGAGTGCTAATCTGAGCGTTATTTCACGAATTTCAAGAATTGGGGTTAACGCATTGCGCGAGACCGTGAAAAATGTCTTTTACAGAAGACACTTTTTTTCAGAATTTCAACAATCAAGTTCTGGAATTGGAATATTCAACACAATCCGCATGGAAAGAACTTTACTCAAATTCAATAGGGAGCATTTCTATTCATGGAAGAATAAGGTGAGTTGATTTCATCGAGTCGAAGGGTCCATGGATATCATGGAAGGTAAAGAGTTCCGGCCAATCACTCTATCTGGTTTTACACTCTATACACTTCCGTTAGGAACAGGAGTAAAAAGAATGGTAAGAAAAAAATCTCATTTCCGGAACAATGTCGAATAATTCGTTGGAAAATGATCAACATCCATTGATAGTTCGCAACGAGGCGAACAACAAAGATCTGGGCTGAATTACAGAAAGTGTATGAATTCCATGACATCTTGATGCAAATGCACTTGTGAAATGCATTGCATACGTGAGTCTATGTTGTAACATATCACAAAATTTTGTCTATTCTTGATCAATTGGCTGTTGTAGGGTAAATTATTTTGGAAGTCGAAGCATTCAATTGCCTCCTTGGAAGTTTTCTTGTGGAGCACTTATCTCTTGATCAATTGGCTGTTGTAGGGTAAATTATTTTGGAAGTCGAAGCATTTAATTGACTCCTTGGAAGTCTTCTTGTGGAGCACTTATCTTTTGTACGCTCAATGCGGTCACAACAAACATTGACCACACAATCCGTCATTGCGAGTATGCTTCTTGAAGAATCACAACTCAAAG